TCAAGAATATTTTTTGGGGACATATTTATGAAATTGTGTGCTCGGCCTACCATATTTACCCCCCAAAATATTACACACACACACCCCCCCCACCAATATTCATTATCTCGAACCCTTTTTTTTGTTCAACTATATTCTCAGATCATCCAATGCAAATTCTTCAGGCTATTGGTAATTGAGGAGCAGAATTTGAAATATTAAAATTGTTTTCATGTAAAATGAACAACTGACAGTTGCAAAATTACCACAAAGCCTTGAGACATTCCTTTCCTGGTTTTCAAATAAAACATTAACAAATTTAAGAAAATATTCTCAGAAAGCATTTCTTATCTGTCTTTCATCCATATCAATTTCTGTTCCAATGTATCAAATAAAGTGTCCAACAGTTTGTATAATGAGACATATAATGAATTATAAACAGACTCACAGAAAATAATACCGTCACAATTCAAAAGCATTTTCATATATCAGCCCTGAATCAGAAAAGAACATATCATCTTCAGCATGGCACCTTTCTCTAATTACACTATGTATCAAACAAAACCCATACTGGCAACAGATACCAAAGGGCAGATGAAATATTCATACCAATCTTCTTCAATGTAGGCTTACAGCGAAGTATGTGGAACAGTCTTGAATCTTCCCAGCAAGAGATCATCATAATTTGCATAATTTAATTCTTTTTATCTATATCGAATATTCCTTCCTCACGAAACACGAGAAGGGTCTTCCAGGTTGGATAACCCATATTGGACTACAGTTCCATGATTCAAAGACAATTAACAGCTTGTGTCATTTGATCTTACAAGGTGAGTGAGTGAGTGAGTGAGTGAGTGAGTGAGTGAGTATGGTTTTACGCCGCTTTTAGCACTATTCCAGCAATATCACCGAGGGGGACACCAGAAATGGGCTTCACACATTGTACCCATGTCGGGAATCGAACCCGGGTCTTCGGCGTGACGAGCGAACGCTTTAACCACTAGGCTACCCGACCGCCCCAGTGAGTGAGTTAGTGAGTGAGTGAGTTTGGATTAATCACCCCCAGACCCCACCCCCAACCAATGGATGTGGATCTTCTCACTACAACACAGGCATGTCATATACATAGCTGCGAAAGAAAGAGGCACTTCTTATATAACATAAGTAATAACAATTAGCTTTTCCAACCTAATGGGCAATGGGGTAACCTACAGGTAAAACCATTCGCTCCTTGCGCTAAAGATCCAGGTTTAATTCTCATGGATATAATGGGAGAAGTGTAAAACCATACTCACTCACTAATAACAAAATAGTCTCGCAACATAAAAAATTTGTCCATGATAAAACTGATTCAAATTAGGCCAAGTAAAAATATTTGGAATTGACACTGACATCACCCCTCATGTGTCTCAGCTTTTCAACCAAGTTCTGCCCATAGAATAAGTGTAACGAAAACACAAGGATGCCCGAGACCGGACACAGTTCAACCACACACAGGGACGTTGGCACTCCACTTTAAGTTATAATCAACATCAACATCACCATAGGTCATATACTGTTAGGTAAGGGACAACATTCTGTGTGTGGTGTAAGTGGGTCCTGTTTCCAGCCAGGGCCTGAGGCAAGTGTTACCTTGCCATGTGCTCCTGCCACAGTTGGGATAGGTGGTATAATACATGTAGTTTTCGGGACACATCTTCAGGAAGTCTGGATACAGAACTTGTTTTCTTGGGTGCAGAATTTGTATTTTTTTGTTACACAGCTATAGGATGCCCATAACGTTTGTATATACACCAACGCCAGTTACTGTAAGTTGTCAATCAAATACTCAGAAGTCAAATAACATATTGCTGAGATTTTGTATTTTTTTCTGTATGTAACTATAGGGCAGTATATGTGTAGCTTGCAATGCAGGTAGAGGGAGGGAGAGAGAATCACAAATCACAACAATTACAACTGTCCATCCAAATTGCTTGAGAGAGAGAGAGAGAGAGAGAGAGAGAGAGAGAGAGAGAGAGAGAGAGAGAGAGAGCCTAAGAGAGAGAGAGCCTAAGAGAGAGAGAGAGCCTAAGAGAGAGAGAGGGGGAGAGAGAGAGAGAGAGAGAGAGAGAGATAGAGATAGAGATAGAGATAGAGAGAGAGAGAGGGTACATCCAGCCTTAGAGAGAGAGAGAGGGGGGGGAAGGAGAGGAGGGGGAGGAGAGAGAGAGAGAGAGAGAGAGGGGGGGGTACATCCAGCCTAAGAGAGAGAGGGGGGAGGGAGGAGGGGGGGGAGAGAGAGAGGGGGGGAGGGAGAGGAGGGGGGAGAGAGGGGGGAGGGAGAGGAGGGGGGGAGAGAGAGGGGGAAGAGATTATTAGGAGTAATGAGATGGGGTGACTGGACAATGCAGTCATCCAGAATATTTAGATTTACTACCAAAATGACTCTGACATGGCATTTACAAAGCCAATAATGACATGGGGCAAACTGCTTCAGGAATAATGTGGATATCGCACACAAGCTGCACAGCTTATCTTGAATGTCATTCTTAATAAAAGAACTTCACATCAATTATTATGCTCATAAATGGTCGTAATTTGACCAGAAGAATTATATCAATACCACAACTTCAATAACTTACATACATTATTTATCATTCAAAGGGACCAAGTTATTGGTTGCTGTGCTTTGCACTTAATAATAAAAGGTTCATCATACAAAAAATCATTTCTCAGATGTCTTCCAACACTAATTTCAACCCGAACAAGGCCCCTCTCTTCAAAGAAAAAATTGGTGCAAAGTGAACTTCACCTTGCTATTGGCCCCTTGCTAAATCTTTCCTCAAATCCTTGGAAACAGATTATGCTTAATAACACAGATCTATTTCTGTGAGATGTTGAAAAGACCTCTCCTTAATGAACACATGAGAGAACTCCCCTGCAGATCAGTGTGGTCAGATCCCCTTAAACAAGTCATAAACTGGCTGTACATTTTAACGTTGCTGTGAAAATTAATCCAATTTTCGCAACAAAGTGATTTTGATTGTTCCTTTTCAAGACATGGCAATAAACACAATAATTTTATTTGCCTAGAGACAACATTTTGGAATCAATATATGACAAAACCATGAACTAAGTAACTTCACAATTTCAATACGCGATTCAGACACGAATGACAAACTATTGATCTGGTTATTGATTGTTTCCCTACTTTGTTGGAAATATTTGCAAAAAATTCCTTAACATACTCTCAACTCCTTGGGTCAAAATAATGCCAGTGTGTACGTCAGTATACAAGATTCACGTCAAACAACGGGAGAAATCGTTAGTGGAGAAACATTAGCAACGTGATCATATTACTGTTGACGTTTAATTCACAATCGCCAAATCTTCAACATCCTATTCCAGTGCTTAGATCTAACAAAGTCCGGATGCAACAGATGCGGGTTTTCAAAAGATGATACTTTGACATACAAAATTCAACTGCAGAATTCTGCAGAGTCAATTTGAAAATGTCAGGTAATACCTATTTCTATGGCTAGTGCTATATCAAATACCAAATAACCCTTTCCAGCCATGGCCCACTGCCTTAACAACCAGCTACCCAGATATCAATCATATTTCTAATAAATATGGACGCACGACAGGACGGCAGGAGTCCTTATCATCATAATCAGGAAAATTAACATCAGCTTGACAACACGAAGGGGCGGTTTAGCTCCGTGGAGATCAATTTCTAAATGTACAACTGATTGATGTGGAAGTGTTCAGTATGTGATCAATTGACACCCTGTTTTTTCTCCGAGTTGCATGGCAGTGAAAGTGTTCCACATTAATAAGCTATTTCCGATGCTAATGGGGCCATATAACTACCAACAGTTGCTGCTAAAGCTAATACAGGCCTGGATACACATGTGAGAATACCCTATTTTATTATAATAACACCAACAGCCATCATATACCATGGCCCTTATTTGTCTTAAGAGTCATTACAACCCCATAGCATTTAAGGCAGTTCATGTTATCACAGAAAAACATCAGAATATGCATCCTATAATAACAAAACAGGAAAAGATCAACAACAGACAGGTCCTACCACATATTCTCCTATGCTTATTATAAAATAAAAGATATTGGACAAGAAATATTTATCAAATTTTAGTTTGCATCTAATCAACATTTCTTTTCTGGTGAGAAATACTCTCCAAAGTTCAGGATGTCTGGGTGACTTTCTTAATCTAATATTTGAATCAATCCCACATCGATCTACTAAGCAAGCATGTGCAATGATATAAAATTCTTGGAAATCAAGTGAAGCATGCCACATATTGCTAGGACAGCAGTTACCATACATACTCTGCATTCATTATACACAGCTTTGCTGTAACCAATCATGTATCATAAACCAGGAAACTATACAACAGGAACTATGGTATGCAACCAAGTACATGCACTATTGGTTGGAAAGAACAATGAGTGAGTGAGTGAGTGAGTTGGGTTTAATGCTGCTTTGAACAGTATTCCAGTTATATCACGGCATGGGGAAAGGATAGCTCAACATTCAGATCTTTGTCATGAGTTCAGAAAAAAAGCTGGTTCCACCCTCATAAAGTAAATTATTATCCCTTCATATATTAAATGATTATCCCTTCATAAATTAAATGATTATCCCTTCATAAATTAAATGATTATCTTGTCTTGTCAAATAATCCAACACGCACTAAATCCATTCCTACATTTAAGGTCCAATTAAAAATTAAATAAAAATAACTCTCGACTCTGGTGGTGTGACAACTGGTGAACAACTCGGTGTTTTATTTGTCTCCTGTTTCCTGCTCTGGACACCATGACAACCACAGCGTTAAGATCTAAAGCAGATAATTAATGTCTTCTCAAAAGCTTGTCGTATCAGATGGTCAGACCCAAATCCTCCCTGTGGAAAAATGGGATGTGTCTAGGTAAGATTTATGAAGCTGAGACAGCATTTGTTGTCCACCCGAAAGGTGTGAATGTCCTCAACATGAACACATGGAAGTGTGCAACTGTGAATGACTGGATCCATTCTGGACACTGTTTAGCTGACAATTCACCAAGACTCAGTACGATAATGTAACAAGTCAACTGTTTCAGTTATCCAGATGATCATAGGATTTTACAAAAGTCTACAAATGGTTTTTTTGTCACAGTAATGATCTTTCTTTTTTCAATTTGACATTTAATACATTGTATTAATAAGCTGCAAATATTAAAAAAATTATATATCATAAAAAAACCCACATAAATATTAGTGAAATAATGCATGGCAAATTTAAAACAGATCATGTTCTCTGATATATCATGTCTTTGTGACATCTGGATTGAGTAAAAAGATGATCTGTCCTTGGTGAGCAACTCTAGTATACCTTAATATATCACAGGTACAAGCCCCTATATACTACAGGTACAAGCCCCTATATACTACAGGTACAAGCCCCTATATACTACAGGTACAAGCCCAATATACTACAGGTACAAGCCCCTATATACTACAGGTACAAGCCCGGATATACTACAGGTACAAGCCCGGATATACTACAGGTACAAGCCCGGATATACTACAGGTACAAGCCCGGATATACTACAGGTACAAGCCCCAATATACTACAGGTACAAGCCCCTATATACTACAGGTACAAGCCCGGATATACTACAGTATATACTACAGGTACAAGCCCGGATATACTACAGGTACAAGCCCGGATATACTACAGGTACAAGCCCCAATATACTACAGGTACAAGCCCCAATATACTACAGGTACAAGCCCCTATATACTACAGGTACAAGCCCGGATATACTACAGGTACAAGCCCGGATATACTACAGGTACAAGCCCGGATATACTACAGGTACAAGCCCCGATATACTACAGGTACAAGCCCGGATATACTACAGGTACAAGCCCCAATATACTACAGACACAAGCCCCAATATACTACAGACACAAGCCCAATATACTACAGATACAAGCCCCAATATACTACAGATACAAGCCCCAATATACCACAGATACAAGCCCAATATACTATAGGTACAAGCCCAAATATACTGTGTATGTGCCAAGACAGGACCTGTCCATGCACAGACCCCCAGACAGTTGACATGGACACTCCGACTGTCTATGGAGACGGTCACCCGAGGGACATGCTCCCAGTGTACTCCTACATGCCACATCTATACACCAGCTCCCACTGACATGACTCTCTATACAACACCCTTGTATACAACAGGCAGGAATGTGGCATTCAGCAGTATTGGGGTGGGTAAAGGGTGAGTAATGACAGGCATCAGATCAGTCATGAAATTATGTCAACAGCAGTCAGATAAGTGCTGGGGTGGCTGGAGTGGAGAGGAGACAAGAATTAGAGGGTGGAGCAGTGATCGGGACGTCTAGACGAGATGGCTTTAGGGCTTGTCTCTGGAGGAGGAACTGGGTGGGGTGTTGGTTCTTCTATCATGGATTGTTCACTACACTTCATTTGAAGTATTGATGCTCTTACAGTGGGACAGTAATCAAACAGAATGGTCCATATATATCATATCATTCAGCTATTTATTAATCATAATATTTTTCATCCAACCATATATTGACAATATATTATCATAATATTCACTTAGCTTTTCTATTCTTTCCAGTTTAAACATTATTTTTATTTCTAATTATTTTTTGTACTTTTAAATGTTTTTTATTCATTAACTTGTACACAATCTAATACAATGAAATTCTGATCTAATATTTACATATGTTACTTATTTTCTAAACTTTCTATTTGATTTTCTCTTTCTATTTCAGATTGGAATAAGGGTGAAAGATTTGATAGGACAGAAGTTATGTCAGTTTGGGCTAATTTTATACAACACTTAATTTGTATTTGAGATTACAATCAAGTGCAAAGGTCAAAAGGATAGAGGTTATATCATCTTATGCTAATTTTTTATTTGACTTATTTTCTATTTCTGATTGGAATAAGGGGCAAAGATTAACAGGATAGACGTTATAATAGGATGGGTGTGACAGTGGTGAGGGTTTTTGTCGTGGATGGACCAGTTGGCTCGAGGGGGTTCCAGCTCAAGGGGTCAGGTGGGTGGGGATAAGGATTACCCCCAAGCAGGTGAAGGAGACAAGCCCTCCTATTCTGCTTTGATGTGATACAAGTTCTGAGGGTGATAGTAACTTGAACCTTCGTCTCGCATTCTTGACTGACTGAATACTCTTCAAGATGAAGGATGATTTCCGAAAACACACAAAGCCTGAATTAAAATTACAAATACCCCTTGCATGTATACTTATCTTTGATCCAAACAACCGATTCTACACAAATAATCATAAATATTTCTAAAACATAATTGAATATTTTCATTAAACAAGGAGACCAAGAAGACCCAATGATATTGCTAATGGACAGAGTGGATAATGTGGCAGGATCTGTGGGAGTTGCTTGTCGTGGGGCCACTGTGTCGAGAGTCTGGAGGCATGTGGGTGGACAGACATCGACACGTTGTGTGTCAAGTTATACTATGCGTTCACGGCACATACACTCGCACGGACAAACCCTCGTGGCCTACACTTCCGTAATTACAGAAGCATAAGCACCCTGACATTTCCCGTTATCATCCAACGCACAGATTAGACAAGTTTCCACTTGTCACAAAAAAACTCTGAACAGTTGCAATTCATTCACAACCAGAGCTTGGCATTATCAAAATCCAAATTATGAAATCCTGTTCCCCTTGTGGTAAAGCACAAGTGACATTTAAGGACCCAGTTGAGTCGTCAAATTCAAAAATAGCACATCACCACTCCAGCTTGACCATACCAATGAAACTGGAATTTGTTTTGGGAATAATTGCTCAATCATTGATATAATGGCTTCAAATTCACTCGTACTTAACTCTTGAACACAGTGCAAAGTTGGCGCAACAAAGGGGGAGTATTTACAGGGCTGTGATCACAGTTAACTACCGTCAACATTTAGGGCTATTCAGGATGGCTGTGCGAATGGACGTAGGTTCTTGTAAGCTAACAAAGTTACCCCTGTTTTCTCTTATACATGTATTATAGCATAGCGAAAACATTTCCAGAAAAAATTACCAAGGATTTACTGTCACAAAGCATATAATCCCACATTTCATTAACATTTATTAATACTTTGTGTTATGTAAGTTGCTTATGTGTTTGTTTGAAATAAAAATAAAGGGCTTATTCATGATATTCTTAACATAAAATTTACAAATTTGAACCAATGATTACAAAAATAAATTTGAAGTACCAGGTGATTATTTGAAGTGCCCCTGACTGTTCATACTGTCCTACATAAATGATATCTGGGTCATGCATTATAACCAGCTTTAACACAGTACACCCCTGCATTCCACACTCAACAACAAATATACACATGAGGAATTTTTACAACTTGGTTGACCCAATTCCTGTCCCCCTGACACTGCACCCATCAAAACAATGGCACATTGTTTTCACAGAAAGAAGCCCCGATCCCCAATCACAAAATCACAATCAAAATAATGAGGGCACTGATTTGGCAAGGGATTACTCACTTTTTGTGGGTGGAAATCAGAGGCTTACAGACAAGCGGACAGGAAGAAAGGCTGGGAATTAGGTGTCACAATTTGTTTGGGGAAATTGAAAACTTGGGGAATTACCACCATGTACTTTAATTTGGGCTTGTGAATGTGCCGTGTAAAGAGATACAATACTGTAGGTACATACAGGTGAGAAAGAGGACAATCAGCAGCCAGGTGACTCAGCAGGAGGGGGAGGATGAGGAGAGAGAAAGAGGGATGGAGGAAAAAGGTGTGAAGGTGTTTTTTACGTTGTTGCAGTTTCGAAACAGCTGAGGTGTGGGGCAGGTACCAAGAATGTGTGTCACATACCTCTCTCGCGTGAGGAATGGGGGTAACCACGCATGGCCATTGAGATGAAGGGAGATGTTCGTGACTAAGATACACATCACATCAACAATATGACAGTCAGTGAGTCTGGTTTAACGCCGCTTTGAACAGTATTTCTGTTATACCACGGCATCTCAGCTTGATGTTTATTTGTTTGTTGTTCAATGCCGGACTCAGCAATAATCTCGCTATATGATGGCGGTCTGTAAATAATTGAGTCTGGACCAGACAATCGAGTGATTGACATCATGAGCATCGATCCACGCAATTGGGATCGATGACATGCATCAACCAAGTCAGGGAGCCTGACCATCCGATCCTGTTAGTCGCCTATTACATCATAATGGGTTGCTGAAGACTGTTTCTAACCGGGCTTGATGTGGAGAACAGCCAGAAGGGATGCAGGTCTCAGACATTTACCACTTTGGTGAATCCCAGGAAAAGGGGAATGGTCCTGACAAACCTAGCATTAGTAAGGGAGAATCTGGGATTCGAACCCATGAACAGAGGATTCAAGCATGCTTTTGGGACACAATTCTGCAGAGTGATTTTAGGCGTCTCAAGAGCAAAGGTCATCCTTGCCTCCCAACATGAGACAGAGAAAGCATAAGTATGCAAGAGGAAGAGATGTTTCAGAGATAGTCATAGTAAAAGTGGCATATCAATTAATACATGGCGGGATGTCCAGCAAATGCTGCCCTAACACACCACGTATCACAGCACACCAGCTTATTGTGCCTGGGAGTCAAAAGTGATGCAAGCCACAGGCCTTTGGAACTTGAGGAAAAAAATGACCACAGGCTGGGTGCTCCAAGGATCGTATTCAGGGGAATCTGGGATTCAAACCCATGACCATGGACCCTCGCAACAGGGAGACAACTCAAGACAACACAGGGCAGCCATGAGCAACATTGTAAATTCTAAACAACGATGGGAGCTGGTAAAAGTACACGCAAGACATGAGATATTCCGACACAACTGACAAATGGAGTGTGAGATGTTTATCAGTAATAGGCATATATATTACCTCCATTAAAGTCAGAATTTCCACACAATTACATGAGTCATGAACAAGACAAGTCAATCAGCATGTGACACCTGTGTACACTATCCCTTAGCCGAAGGCTAGTACAAATTCATAAGTACTACCAAATGCTGTTGGACAATCACAGGTTGCCTCAAAGCAACTTTCACCGACTACTAACCAGACTAATTAAGACTTAATAAGCATATACACAGGTCATATATTTCCATCACCAAAACAAAATCTGAAAGTTCAACCCCCAAAGTACTTCAAAGCAGGAGGTTATTTTATTCAGCATATGAAGGGAGGAAATCTTTTATTGTTTGTTTGTTTGATGTTTAACGCCGCCCTCAGCAGTCTGTAAATAATCAAGTCTGGACCAGACAATCCAGTGACTGATATCATAAGCATCGATCTACACAATTGGGATCGATGACATGCATCAACCAAGTCAGAAAGCCTGACCACCCAATCATGTTAGTTGCCTCTTACGACAAGCATAGTCACCTTTTACGGCAAGCATTGGTTCCTGAAGACCTATTCTCTACCCGGAATTCTTCACGGGTCAAATCTTTTATTACACAATACATATCTCTCTATAATTATTTTTATTCATTTGCAGATTTCATACAGCTTACTGGATTTGCCTATTTTCATCTTCTTGACTGATATTAAATTATATGCAGATATTCATTCCACTCAAGGTGAATGATAGCATCCAATTCTACACAAGCTGACAGGAAGGGTATCCTGTACAACTGCCTCCTTCTCTTTACAAAGACAATCCACCTCCTTAACATTAAGTACATTAACATTTCAAGGTGTTGATCACTGACAGAACAAATCCTTTGTCAGGTAAACAAACCGCTGGTCACTTTCCCCTGGGCCATGCTAATGGCCTTTGGGAAAGAATAATGAGATCATCCCTGAGTTCAAGTGTGCCATGTGATCTGTACCTGGGACTGCAGTCATTCAAGCACCTGTCAATGTCACAAAATCCCTAAGGGCAAAGGGCAAAGGGCAAAGGTCATGGCATGACTTGGACCACATGTGCTATGTTTTTACATCATTAACTTCAAGATTATTTGTTAGTCAGGTATGAGGTAACATGTACTGGTTGGAATGTACGTTGCCATGGTAACAGTTTGCGGATTATACAGCTTACTTGGAGTGACATAACATCTTAAAAACAGTAAAACCACAGGACCTATGACCCCCTTATTTTTAATTTTTTTTTTAAAATAAACACAGTTTAATTACTGTGGCGAAAGAGATGGATTTACACCACTTTTAGCAAAATTCAATTCAAATATTGGCAGGGAAACAAAGAACAGGCTGCACACATTGTACCCACTTTGGGTATCAAACCAGGGTCTTCAGCATGTTCAGTGTGACAAGCAAACGCTTTAACTACTGGGCTAAGCCCACAACTCAGTAACAGTGGAGTTTTAGCTGTTGTGTGATCTGGTTCTAGCACCTCCGCATGTAAGTCCTGAGTACTATAGCTAAATGATAGAATTAAAGTGCCAATATGCCGCTTCCTTGACGTAGAGAAAACACAGTTTCCAAGAACTGCTTATGTCACAAACATGTGCGTGTATACATTCTGCTGTGGCTAAAATCCCAGTCAAGTTAGGGGCATCAAAGCCCAGTTTGTTGAGGATAAATGATGCCAGACTATTATTCGTGAAGGATTTGTCCTCCTGAATATCAGATGAATATCATTTCTCAATAGCACACAGCGTTATTCACGTTTACACACCTGAAAAACAAGCCTAAGCCAATAATCATTGTTTACAAACCTGGCATGCAAGTCATGTGCATAATAAACAGTATTAATTCATGTTCTTTGAAATGGCTTTGTAAAAAGATATGAAACCTGTGTGGGTATTTTCTGAAAAAGCATGTACAGTCCACAGAAAAACAACACAATGGTGGCCTTCATAACAACAAAATCTTTTCTTTTTCAAAAGCAAACAAACTTGAATGTCTTCCCCATTTTTTAACATAATAAAAAACATGTTCTCTTCTTCCAAAGGAAACAAAACCCACTTTTCATAAAGCCGCATTGCAAATTTTTCAAAATACTATATAAATAAAGCTTTCCTTTCCCAAAAGTAAACAAATCCAAAAATGGATTGTACACAGTTTTCACAAAAAATAATAAACCCACCAGTTTCAATCATATGAAGCAACTGTTTCAATCATCTTCAACTTCAAAATATCAATTATCCAAATAGGTTATGACATAAATATACTACTAATAATAACTTAAGGATCACCGGAATCTTTCATACGACAGATTAATTGTAGTTA